ATCCCCTGCTGCGCTCCAGATTTCTCCCCTGGGTCCTTCGGAGCTCCTCTCACCCCTCTGATCACCTTATTCAGCTGTTCACCTGCCTGCTAACCCTGGCAGAGCCTCCTGGGGTCCCCTACTCTGGTGGAACGATGCAGAGTCCAACACTGGGGCAGAGGTGGGGTGCTGGCCCAGTGTGACCATGGCCCCCACACCACCCTGCCCACCTCTCTGTCTTCTCCTGGTCTCCACCCCTCTCTCCTCCTGCTTTCCTGCTTTGGCCTGGTGTCTGTGCTCTGTGGTCCTTTGTCACACTGGGTTTTCCTGGTGCTTTTCCGTCCCTCAGGACCCCCTATATGGGCCTGGCCTCAGCATGCATCTTTTTCTTCCTGGGCTCTCCCTGGCAGAGTTCTCCTCTTCCCTCCTCACTCCCCTCTCTCCTTTCTCTGCTTGCTATCCCTGCACCTCTGTGTGGGTGTCTGTCTCTGGCTCTATTTCTCAGCCTCATTTGCACCTCTGCTGGCCTCCTCCTCGGCGTGTGTGTGAGTGTGCACGCTCCTCACGTGTGCGTGCAGCTCGGTAGCTCTTTGCCTGCCTCCACGGCGGCTGCTTAAGAGTTCACCGCGTCTGTGGTGGTGTCTGAAGCTGGGGAGGGAGCGAGATCCAAGCAGGTGGAAATCCACTTAAAAACACACATAGAACCGCAGAGTTGCACGTTCCCCCCAGACTGGAGCTGCCAGGATTTGGCAGTGCAGCTGGGGCAAGTCTGTGTTCACGCTCTGCCTGTGGTCAGGCCCTCCCTGGCTCCCCACGGCCCACCTTCTCACCCCGCAGTGGGCTGATTCCCTGCATTTCTGCCTGGCGCTGGTTTTGTTTCCTGGAAGTGGGCACCGGTGCAGGGATGGGACTGAACGTTCACCCCAGTTTGGGGCAGGCTGTGCTCTGTGGTGTAGACAGGCCAGGTGTAGAAGGCCAGGCTGCCAGGACCTCAGAGGGGGGTGTGCAGGGACGTGTGCATGGGCTACCTGCTAGGCCACTTGTGTGGGTCGTTGGCACTGTCTTGACACTCCAGGACATACCAATACCTCATCCCCACCTTTCAGTATAAGGCCACTAGGACACTCCCACCCTCTCTTGACTGCACAGCTGCGTCCTGTCTGAGGTCTGCACCTCGCTGCTGCCTTCCCAGGCTTTCTCCTCCACTTCCTCGCATCCCCCCATCATTGCCCTGGAAACTTTCAGACCTGCCTCCCTACCCTTCAGCCCTGCTCCACATTCCCTTTTTCCAGGGAGCTTCCCAGAACCATCTCCAGTTCCTGTCCCCAGCACTGTCCCTCCTCTCACTGGGGGAAGATGCTGTCCCCTTCACCCTCCTGGCCTGCGTCTGCCTCTGCTGGAGTCTGCGGGCCTCGCCGGGGGGTAGGGCATGCTCTGCCCCCTTTTCTCGGTGGGGGTGTCGCAAGGCAGGACTGTCGGCAGTTTGCTCACTCTCACTCCTCGGCAGATTTATTCAGAACCTCTGTGGTGTGCCCAGCCGCCAGGCCCTGTGCCCGGTGGTGGGTCTTGGGCTATGAGTGACATAGCTCAGACTCCAAGAGTTGTCTCTGGGGCCGGGCAGGGAGGGGGCGGCCACTGGGCTGCAGTGTGGCCCCTGCTATGGCAGAAGAGAGGAGTGAGTACAGATGCTCCGAGGGAATGCATGCAAATCATGGAAGACTTCCCAGAGGAGGTGACTGTTTGAATCAGAGGATGGGGGAGTGTTCTGCTCACGGAACCTGTGCAAGAGTGGGAAGGGGTAATAGAAGCCTGGCACGTGCAGAGTAGAGAGAACAGGACTTGGCGAGAGCAGACTTTGGGTCTCTCCTCATTCGTGAACCGGGCTGGCATAGCCTGGGGGCATCTGGATGCCATCTCAGGTGCTGTTTTGCCTGCAGGGGCTGTTTTGGGACCACAAAACATTGCCTGTGACTTCTGTGGGCTCAGGATCTAGGCTGCCTTTCCATCAAGTTAAATCCCCAAGACCCCTTCATTTCCCCTCCTGTCGGGGCTGTCTGCAGGGCCATTGCTTCCGTCTCCCTGTCTCTGGACAAAATGGCTTCAAACAGGCCTAAACCAAGAGAAAATGTTATTTCAAAGTCCCCAGAAAGACATAACCACCTTCTTTGACACGTCTCTGCTCAGGTTTCTGGCTGTCTCTCCAGTTGTCTAACTGCTCAGGGTAAACAGCCACCGTAACTACCATTTAGTGGGTATGTGCGAGGGACTGTACCGGGCCTTGTGTTCACCTCATCTCGTTTGGCTTTCACAGCACCCAGGAAGCAAGCATTATCATTCCCCCAGTTTAGCAAGCAGGAAAATGAAGCTTAGAGAGTAAGTAGCTTGGCCAAGGTCACTCAGTTAAGAAGCCACACAGGCAAAATGTAAACCTTAGTTTGTCTCCTAAACCTTCACTCTTAGTATTCGAGCATGGAGGGATCTGCAGTTTTTGGTCCAGGCTTGTCATTGTGCAGGTGAGCACATGGAGGCCCGGATGGGGAAGTGACATGGCCAAGGTCACACCACTCCTCACTGCAGCAAGCTCCCCATCTCCCGAATCTGACTCCAGGTGCTGCCCCCCCCCCCCCCCACCGCCATCCTGTCGCAAGGCCAGTCACCTCCTCACTCCACGTGGACACGGAGCCAGCTGCTCACCGTCCTCTGGAGATGTCACCAGGAGACCGGGATGTCCAGGCCCCATGCAGGAAAGCTATGAATATAAATTCCATCTCTGAGCCAGAGCTCACCAGCCACCCCACTCTCAAGCCCTTGACTTGGGCTCCGGGGGCTGTGGGAAGGAGAAACGTGAGTGTGGAGAGTTTGCAGCATGTAGCTGCACTAGAGAAATGCGCAAGGATATGAATAAATTTGAATAATAATGAAGGCAATGCCTGAATTAATAATACAGGCTGCTCACCTGACCCACCCTTCTCCCAGGATCTCAGCACCTGCCACCCTAATCCTACAAAATGTGCGTTGAGCCTTATCCTTTTCTCCTTTAGAAGATGTGAGTGGGAGATCAGATCAGCAGAGTTTGGGGACACCCTAATAGAGTACGGGAGAGGGACCCTGTTTCTAACTTCCTGGCCCCTGCAGACCCAAAGAGCTGCACCTGCACACTTACAGTAAGGGGGCTGACTACACTGTATCATATCCTGGCCACCAGCCCACTCCTGGCCCCTGCCACCTCTTTTTCTGTCCCCTTTGTGTGCAGCATCCAATGTGGATGGATGTCCAGGGGGAGGGGAGATCATGACTCTCAGTCTTAGAGGAGAGGTTCCTGCTCTGCTATAACAGTTAGGGCAAACCCCCAGTTACCAGCTTCCCTTCACCCTGTGACAAGCAAAAACATGGGTATAAGCCCTGATAACTCGAGAGAGGACAGCGGGGCTGGCTGATGCGACCAGTTGTGTTTGCCCAAGGGGCCAAGGGATCAGCTTAGGAGGGCTTCCTGGAAGAGGGGGATGTGGGGCAAGTTTGGAAAGAAGGGGAGAAATGGGGCTGGAGGAGAAAAACGAAGGGAGAGAGGAGACTAGGATCTGTCATGGCTTAGAGGGAGATCTTGGAATGGGGAGGGGTGAGTTAAGTTTGCTTACACACAGTAGTGATGGCAGGTTAGAGAAATTTTGGAAAGCTGGGTTTGCAAAGGGTTGGATTTGGGGATTTGGCCTCTGCAAAGACTCCTGAGCTAGGGAGCGAAAGAAGAGGTAGGAGACCCTGAGTTCTGGGGAGAGCTGATTTTGGTTACTTGGTGTGATAGGTAGGGAGTGTGGCAAGGAAGCCCAGACCGTTCCCTTTGCTGTCCTCCGGCCTCTCAGTTTCCCCTCCTCTCCTTTTCCCACAACCTGGCGAAGGACGCTGAGCCCACAGCTCCTGTAGCTCTGCAGGGAGTCTAGCCTGCCCCACCGCTGGGGCTGACCAGTGCTGGTTGGAGCGGGTGCTGGGGGAGAAGAAACCCGCAATGCAATTCCCTGCTCCATTTAGGCTCCACAATTAAAGGCAATTACTCTGCAGTTCTCTAATCAAATGCTCCCGGCCGAGCTGCCAGCCGGGCAGCCATGTGTAGCTCCCACAGCCGGAGGGAGAGTGGAACAGAGTCACGTGGCCTCTCAGCTCCCACCGTGCTAGTGTGGGAGGCTGGGGGTGTGCAGGTGTGTCCACGTGTGTACACTCACGCCCCCAGCACTTGGGAACAAGGAGTAAACACACACAGCAGTGCAAGCATGTCAAGAAGTGCGTTCAGAGCTACTTGGTTTTGGATACACTCCCCGCCCAGGAAGCTTCTGTTACACACCTGTGGACATGCCTGCCCCATGAAACCTATGCACTTACTACATGCATTGAAGGGAGAATTGTACCTGGCATAGTTGCATGCATGTGGTGGCTCATGTTGGCTCCCATTGGCTCACATGACTCATGTCCAACTAGGGGTCATGGTAGAATGGACCCAAGTCCCAAGGATCGAGGGGGGCTGCAGCATCACCAGCAGCCATCGTTATGAATGCACCACCCGTTGTTAACACGGGTGTGGGGGGTTCCTCCATCAGCAGCGGCTGATGGAGGAACAGCCCAGGCCCCGGGGAGCAGGGGCTCAGGCTCTCATCCCAGCTCTGCCGTTAACTCACTGGGTGCCCCTGGATAAGTTACTCTTCTCCCTGGACCTCCTCTGTAAAATGAGAGGGTTGGACTAGACCCATCTCCGAGACCTTTACATAACACTGCACTGCTTTCAACAATGTCCAAGCACTCCAGCTCCTGAAACCCATTCCTGTGGGCCATGGAGGGGAAAGGAATAAAGGGTGAGCACGTGACAGCTTGGAGGGAAGGGGCTGAGGCTGAAGTGGAGCAGACACCCGAGAGTCCTCCTCCCCAGCCTGAGGTGCTCTCCCTCCTGCCTCCTGCAGAGTGTGCGTGGTGGGGGGCTCTTGGAGGACCCCTCTCCCCACTCATCGCCTTATCCAGTGCTGCCTTTGGCTTTGCAGGGACCCAGACCCGCTTCAGCCAGGAGCCAGCCGACCAAACCGTGGTGGCCGGACAGCGGGCCGTGCTCCCCTGTGTGCTGCTCAACTACTCTGGGATTGTGCAATGGACCAAGGACGGGCTGGCCCTGGGCATGGGCCAGGGCCTCAAAGGTGAGTGCGGCCACCCAGCCACCCAACGTCCCAACTGTCTCATCTCTGCACGCTTTTCCCACTCCCAGCGTAGATTTCTGGACTTACCATCCCGTAGTGTCCTCACCACCCTCCTCGGTGCTCCAGCCTCCCCCTCCCTGTTCTCCCCAGCTCCGTCTCTCTCCACTGCTTTCCCAACCCCTAGCTCTGCCTTTTCTGCTGCTGCGGACTGGCTTGAGGAAGGCAGCACAACACCAGAGAGGTCAGAAGAGAACTTCAGATGGACAGACAGACACCCTGAGGGGTGGCACGGGCAGAGGTCTAGCAGGAGGAACGGCAAAGGAAGGAGAGAGCACGGGCAATTTCTGCGTCCTGCAAGTTTCTTATGCCAGGCTGGCTCTGCTCCAGCCTCTCTCCTCCCCCCTGCACAGGCGATGTCTGCTCAGAGGCCAAAAACTCATTTTAATATCAGCCCGAGCACTCATTTATTTATTCATTCAACAAGCCTTTATTAAGCACTGGTATGTAGCTGGTGCTGAAGCAAATGTAATGAGTCAGTCAAAAACAGAAAGCAACCTCCTGTATTCTAAAGCAAGTAAAGAGACCTTTGGAAAGGCCACCTGGCAGGGTGGATGGGGGGCCGGGACGGCTGGGTTCTAGTCCCGCCTCCACCGCCTGCCCGCTGGGTGACCTCAGGAAGGGCACTCCACCTCTCTGGGCCTTCATGTACTGGGTGTGAAACAGGTATGGTAGTTGCAGGCCTGCCTGCCCTGGAAGTGCATTTGTGAGTTTTGAGCCCGATGAGAGAATGTGCTTTGCGAAAACACACTGTGAGCAGCAAAGCACGGTGATGATGTCAGTATGGCAGGGGCCTGTATATTTCCACTCTCATTATTTTTGTGGGGGTTGAGGTGATTTGCTGTGGGCTCCATGTGTTAGCCCAGGTAGGGGAAATTTGTCTGTGTGGAGCAATCCGTATAAAGGAAAGCGATGGGTCTGGTGCATCCATTGATGATAGAAAGAGAAAGAAACTGGAGAGAGAGATCAATAGATATGGAGTGAGAAGGATCGATAGCCTCTGGACAGAGGGAGATAATGGGAGGCAGCCATGGTGGGGAACAGGGGAGAGGAGGGCAGCAGAGTGGGAGGGGGGTGGCAGCCTGAGGGAGGGAGGGCAAGGGAGACTGAATTGGAGACCCCCACCCCTGCCTCGGCCACCACGGGAAACCAGGACTCTGGTTTAGGGGCTTTGGGGGCAGCTGGGGGGGGGCTGCCTCATCCGCCCTCCCACGGCGCAGGGGCAAGGCCGGGCCTGCCTAGGGCTTCCCTCTGCCTTGCAAGTCCCGCAGAAGTGCCCCCAGTGAGCTCCCGTCTGTGCGGTGGTGCCCTATATTTCCTGGCGCCCACATGCTCTGCCTCTCTCCCCCTCTCCTGTTCTCCCTGCTGTCTGCCTTTTTTCGCTCCTCTTTCTTTCCTATTATTATGAGAGACATTTGTCTGCAAACAGCTTCAGAGATTTACTCTGCTCCTGCTCCCCTCTCCGCCTCTGCCCCCCTCCTGTCCGCTCCTCCAGCTCTGTGGCTCCCAGTCTCTCGGGGGCGGGGGCTGGGGTGGGTTGACGACAGGCGCCCGCGTTGGGGACCTCACCCTCTCCCCTGACAGTGGTGTCCCAGCACGGGGCACAGGGAGGAGCGCAGCTCTGGGTCTGTTGGGCCCTGGCAGGGGATGAGGGGTGGGCAGTGGGGTGTCCTTAGGGGCGGGGCCGTCCCGGTTCCAAGGTTGGGGCTCACCCCGGGCCTCGCCCTTTCTGTTTCTGCAGCCTGGCCGCGGTACCGGGTCGTGGGCTCCGCGGACGCCGGGCAGTACAACCTGGAGATCACGGATGCCGAGCTGTCTGACGACGCCTCCTACGAGTGCCAGGCCACCGAGGCCGCCCTGCGCTCCCGGAGGGCCAAGCTCACCGTGCTCAGTAATGACCCCAGCGCCCTTCCGCGCCTCTCCTGTCCTCGCAGCCCCTCCTGCTCTCCGGTTCCCTCTTCAGGGTCTCATCTTTGCTCTGTTGCTGGCCTCATCCCCGCCCCCACCGTCCCCCTGTCCCTGGTTTTCTCTCTCCAGCTCCTTCTTTAAACTTCCCCCAAAGCCAGGTCCAGGTAGGAGGGAGTGGAGCAGGACGCGGGGGCTGTGTGAGGCTCCGAGTCCTCTTTGCTCCAGCCTGTGCCCAGACCACTCAAGGACAGGGCTTTCGGCTTCTGGACACAAAGCTGGAGGGACGAGTCCCCACGGGAGCAGGGAAGGGTGGGGTGATGGAAATGGGGTTTCTCCTGGCGGACAGGCTTGTTGGTGAGGGAGCCCCTCCCTTCTTGCTTCTGCCCCTCTGCTGCCCGAGAGCCCAGAAAGGGCCTCCTTGCTCCTTCCCTCCCTCGCCCCCCTTAGCTGCTTCCTTTGCTCCCTCGGCCTCACCCTCCTCTCGGGTTCACCTGGGGGCTCCTCGGGGAGCAGGGCTGGAAGGGATGGGCCCTGGGGCTGAGTTCTGAGGGGCTGAGGTCTGAGGGGCTGTGTCTGGACGGCTGCTGTCAGAGGGCCGGCTCTGGAAGCCAGGCGCCTGGCAGCCACCCGCTCACAGGGGGACTGAGCAGATGTCCCTCTATGGTAACCCCCGAGGCCATTTGCATAATGAGGGGACTCTCTCCTGCACACAGTGCCGGAATGAGGCCGGCGCCTGCAGGCCCCCTGCCCACCTGGCCCCCTCCGCCTCTCCGCCTGCCTCTGGGCCCATCAGTCTTCCCCCCTCTCCCTGCTGTCTTGTCTCGCGGTGCCCTGCCTCTGCTGTGCTTTCTGTCTCGGGCTAGCACTCTGTCTGCCTGTGACCCTCTGCCTTCCCTTTTGTCATTGACTCTGTCCCTGACTTTTTTCCTGCCTCCTTATCCTCCCCCTAACCTGGAATCACTGAAATGGGGGGAGGCGCCAGGACGGATGGGAGGAAGGAGAGAGGAGCCGAGCTGAGTGAGCCTGGACACAAGGAAGTTTCATTCTGTGGGGGAGGGAGGTGACAAGGTAACAAGCTGTCCTGGTGTAGCAGGAGCAGTCCTGAACTGCTGGGGTCAGGAGACCTGGGCTCCGGATGCTCCTTGGCCATTTTGGCACGACGGCCATGAAGAGGTGATGACCCCGGGCATGGCTTTCCTCACTGGTAACGTGGCACAATGACATCAGCCTTTTCTTAGCAACTGCGGCTTTGCTGCACAGGGACTTGTAAACTGTGAGAGTGGGCGAATGTGAGGCGTCAGAGTAAGTGAGGACTGGAGGGACCCAACGGCCGATTTCTTCAGCTGTACAGGGCCTGGAGGACGGGGATTCATGGCCGGTGGATGACTTCCTTTTCCTCTCTAGGACTAAAGTGGGGAGAATTAGCAAGGAACAGGATTGAGGTTAGAGAGCAAGAATTGGAGGGTGAACATGGGGTGCCAAGACACCGTCTTCCATCCCTCACTGGTGGGGGGGGCAGCCCCCATGCTGGATCAGCCACTCCAAGGGAACCACGAGATGCTTAGGAAGCCCTGTCCCTTCTTCTTCCTCCTTAACTGCCTCTATTTTGGCCCCTGGAAGGTGCAACTCCTGCCCTGGAGAACACTCATCCTTATGAGGAGTGCTTGATACTCTTCTTTTCTCTCTCCTACCCCAGCACAGAGACAGAGAGATAGAGAGAGATGAAAAGAGGCCAACTAAGCCCCTCGGTACTGCTGGAATAAGGGCTTATAATGGCATCCAGTGGCTTGGTCCATCAAGGAAGGCTTCCTGGAAGAGGAGAATGCCAATGGGAACTCTAGATGGGGGGGGGGGGCGCACCTTGTTAAAAAGTGCAGGTCAATGACGGAGAGCTGCAGGAGCAGGGGAGCCGACAGCCTTGTTGGGGGGCATGGCGGGTGTGGAGGTGTGGGCCTCACTGGCCTGCCAGGGGGGCTTGGACGGGTGGAGGAGCCGATGGAGCTGAGAGGGACGTGGGGGTGGTTAGTCCAGCTGCACTTGTCTTCTCACTCTCTGTCCTCCTTGTCTCTCTCCTGGACTCGCAGACACCCTGCCACCTGCAGCATGTGGAGACAATAAGAAAGCATGACATTTTCTGCATCCCTTCCTGCTTACCCACTTGCCTATAGCCTTTGCTCAAGGCAGCAGGGCCCAGAGACTGGGCAGGGCAGAAATGAGGAGTGGGCTGTGCCCAGTGGCTGGAGCAGCCTCCCTGCACACCACCGGCCCCTTAGACTCACCTTCTCCCCAGCCATGGTCTCCAAGCCCCTTCCTCCCCAGGCCGACCTTCTTCACAGAGTGGCCTCTCCCATTCCTCCTTATGGTCCACACACCTGCACCCCCTCATCACCCCTGGTGATAAATAACTTGAGGGCTGCGTGAGGAGTGTGGTTTAGGGGTCTGGGGGGCCTGGCCCACACCCCACTCTGCCCTTTTGCTCACCCTCTTGCCTCTGAGCACATTTGCTTAACCTTCTTGAGCCTGTAACCTTCTTATCTGTAAATTGGGGTTAATGGTATTTACTATGAAAGGATTAACGAAATATACTCCATGATACAGATTAAGTGAAAGCATGTACACGTGGCACTTTGGCCAACACAAGGTGAACATCCAGTTGAACAGTAGAAATTATTGTCAATCATATCATAGTTTGCAGTTGGCTTCACACTCTTGATTCTTGTTTCATTTCTACAATAACAGCTCTAAGGAATAGGTGTCAGTATTATTTTTGAAATTTTACAAACAAGGAAACTGAGGCGACAGGCACGTGGGCATATTGACGTGCAAATCATAAACTCTTGTTCATAAACACATGCACATCTGGACTCATGACCTCTAACAGCTGGCTGAGCAGACACCTCAACAGCTTTATTTTCCTTTGCCCCAATAGAGAGGACAGGGATAGGCTTGTGGAGGATGGGCACAGAGTTTGGAAAATGATAGAGCAAGGTAGGCCAGCGGCAGAGGTGACAGGTGGACGGTCTTTGCCTGAACAAAGGGAACGGGAACACTGCAAGGGCAGGGGAGACGGATGCCTTCCCCTCGGGGCACTCCGCATGTCTGGGCACACATCTGGGATGGCATCTCCTCAGAGCTGTCCCCATCCAAGACCTCACTCCTGGTGTGACCTCAGAGGGACCCAGGCAGACCTGGAGGCCCTGAGTGGTGGCTCTCCACCTTTTTCTACGTCTGAAGCTGCTTCCCGCCCCCATCCCCAAACCTGCACCCATCTGGCACTGGAACCAGATACACTGGCATCTGGGAGGAGGGGCCAGGATGCAGAGGGTAATTAGCCTGGCCGGACTTGGAGCCACTGCTGGCTCTCGCCCCGGTGGTAAGCTGACGCATTCTGCCGGTGACAGTTTATACACAATATCATACCCGACCTTCTCAAGGGTCCAGTGAGTAGGCATTGTTCTGTCTCTGATGAAGAAACTAAGATTCAGTGACTTTAGGGACTCACCAAGATCACACAACAGGTAAACAGGAGTGCCAGGATTTGCAACCAGGGCAGCCTCAGTCTAAACTTCATTCTTTTCCTGCTATATCACCTGGCATGCAGGAGTTGAACAGAATGCTAGGACCGGCTGCAAGGTTTCTATCTACTAGAAGCCCCAGCATGGAGACCTCCATTTCATAAACTGAGGACAGCCCTGCCCACCCACCACTGGGCTCCATGGGCCGCCCAAGGTCTCCTCTCTAGGGTTCCTTCTAGAAAGTCCTTCTGAGTCTTTCTTTTCTTTCCCAGAAAGAGGCAAGCAAAATCCCTTCTCATTTCTGGTTGAATCCTGGGTGGGCCAGAAAGATTATAATCAAAATCCTTCTGCCTTTATTTCATCAGTCACTTATTCATTCATTCAGCAAATAGCCCTGAGCATCTGTTGTCACCCAAGCTCTGGGCAGCTCTTAGGGAACTTGCCTGCCCTCAGGGAACTTGTAGTCTGGGTCACTTCAGCATTTGAAAGCCTTGGGCATAAGGTGGGGAGATAGGGTAGGGAGAGGCCTCCTATTTGCTAGCATCAGACACCTGATCAATTCAATTCCTTAAGCATTTATTAAGCACCTACTTGGGTCACATTCTAGGCACTGGTGACCATATAAACATTAGTGAGACAGGGTCCCAGCTTTTCCAGGGGATAACAGTTTTGGTTGAGGTGGGAATAGATAAATTGTTATACGTAACCCAAATCCAAGGTAGATGGTGCAAAGAGCTCCAAGTGACTGGCTGGGACCACCGTGGGGGCTTTGGGTGGTGGCAGGGAAAGTCTTGTGCATCAGCCAGGATTTGGACAGGATGGGTAGCACTTCAACAGGAGCTGTAAGGGGAGGGCATGCCACATGGAAAGAAAACAGTATATGGAAAGACAAGGAGGTGAGAAATTAAAGGCCTTGGCTTGAGAATCCCGGGACGGGAGGCAGAGGAGCTTAGAACTCATGCTCAAGGCAGTCGTACCCATTGAAGGTGTCTGAGCAGGAGAGTGGCACAGTCTTAGCTGTGCTCTGGGGAAATAACCTGCCAGCAGTGTGACATGAGGTTGCTGCAGCAGGCCTGTCCACCTGGCTGCCGCAGGGCGGAGAAGCAGACAGGAAGGGAGAAGCCTGTGGGGTTAGCCACTTTTCCTCACCACCCCCCCACACACACAGTGGGGGCTGTACTCAAGCCCTGTGATAGCCCAGCCCTTTCCTGAGCTTGTGGCCACCTCCTCCATCTGTTCTGTGTAGGCTTAAGCAATGGTAGGGACACGTAGTACCAGAAAAGAGTACAAGCTAGGAAAGAACTAACAGGGTCTGGGGAAGCTTGTGAGCTGGGGACCTAGGGCGAAGCCACCACCGGAGCAATGGAGACAGTGATTGTGAGTTAGGGGGTAGGGTGGCACCGCCCGCCAAGAGGTGGACGTGCAGAGGGAGGGATGCCGCCAGGGGCAGGGGGTGGGTCATCAGGGCTGACTCTGCTTTGCTCTCCCCCGCAGTCCCCCCGGAGGACACCAGGATTGACGGAGGCCCTGTGATTCTGCTGCAGGCAGGCACCCCGCACAACCTCACGTGCCGAGCCTTCAACGCCAAGCCTGCAGCCACCATCATCTGGTTCCGGGACGGGACACAGCAGGAGGGTGCCGTGGCCAGCACGGTGAGCCCTGGCTGTCCCCCCTGATCCTACTGGGCCTAGATCTCCTGCTCACCTCTCCTTCCCCACAGAGGGTGGACTGCAGACTCGGGGGGGACACAGAAGCGGCCTTTGAGGTCATTTGGTCCAACCCACTCATTATACAGTTGGGAAAATTGAGGCCCAGAGAAGTGAATTCCCAGGTTCACTGTGCCATTACTAAGACTAATAGTCATAATAGCTGCCATGGATTAAGCAGCACCTACTGCGTGCCAGGCACCATGCATGCTAAGCACTTTATGGACAATCTTAATTCTCACAGGAGTCCCATAAAGAAGATGTTACTTTAGTTCACACAGGAGGAAACTGATGTTCAGAGAGGTTGAGTGACTTACCCAAGGTCACATAGCTGGCAAGCTGCAGAGCTGGGTTTTGTACCTGGATCCGACTGTGCTCTCTCTCCCCTGGTCACTTCTACCCCCTTCCTTCAGCGTCTAGTTGGCATATGAGCCCAATGATCACAACTAAAAGTCTGGGGAAGCAGGGACTACTGTATGCATTTTATAGATGAGGAAGCCATGGCAGAGAAAGGCATCAAGTGACTTGCCCAGGGTCACATGGCAAAGTGGACAACGGTGCAGCTGGAGTCAAAATCCAGATCACCTAGTTGGGGTTCCTTCTGCAGCCGTGGGCAAACGTGTACGTGTGCCCAGCCCTTTGCTAGGTGCTGCAGGAGACGCTTCTCAGTTTAGAGAGAGAGGCGTTCACCTGTGTTCCTCGTGCAACCCCAGGGGCGCCTGGATTCTGGCTTTAGCTCTGCCCTTAACACGCTGTATTACCTTGGACAATTCACTTCACTCTTTCCGAGCCTTAGTTTCACCATTCAACAAATGATGATTTGTCCTCAGTGGCGCTACCCTTTTTTACAACCAAGAACTCTGTTATTTCCCTCCCAGCCAGGCTATGTGTTTTCAAATATTTTGACAATGAAACAGGTTGATTTGTTAATGGCCATTTGTCATCCACCCCCTTTTTTCACATTTACTAAAGACAGTGGAGTTTAGGAACAGCAGAAGGGAGTCAGTGTTATCATACTAGCCTGGTGCTGCTCCAGGCCAGCAAGATGCGTGCCGGGCCATCAAACTGCAGGGTCTTCCTTGGTTAATAGTGCGGCTTCCCTTAGGCAGTTTGCAATGTAGAAAACAGCTCAAGAGGTCTGGTGACCATATTTGGGGACCTCAGTTTGGGTGCCATTGAGGCAGTGTGAGACTGAGGCATGAGCCCCTTCCCTGCTCTCAAGGAGTTTATAGTTTAGCAGGAGAGACCAAGCATTGGACCACTCACTCACACACGGTGCCTAGGAGCAAGGCCGGATTGCCCAGAGCTGTGTGCAGGGCAAACAGGCTGTAGGGGGCACAAGTTCAGGCTGGGAGAGAGTCCTGAGGGCTGTGCTGGCTGAGGAAGACTTTCCAAAAGAGGAGGGACTTGGCGCTGGAGTCATGAAGGGTGAACTCTAATGGAAACTGTGGACTTCGGTTAGTAATAATATATCCATATTGGTCCATCAGTTGTACGGATATATTGCCCTAATGTGAGATGCTAATGGAGGAATGGTGAGGTGGGGGAGGAGAGTATATGGAAACTCAGTACTTTCTGCTCATTTTTCTGTAAACTTAAAACTGCTCTAAAAAATAATCTATGAGCTGGGTGCAGTGATGCACACCCGTAGTCCCAGCTACTCGGGAGGCTGAGGCAGGAGGATCACTTGAGCCCAGGAGTTGGAAGCCAACCCAGGCTATGTTGGAAGCCAACATAGCAAGACCCTCTCTCTGAAAAAAATAAATAAATAAAATAGTCTATTACTTTAAAAAAAAAAAAAAAGCATGGGGAGGATATTGGGAGGAGGGAAGGGGGCTGAGCTTTGGGTTAAAGTACCCCTCCAGCCCAAGCCCAGCTCTGAGTTGGGACACCTTGAGAGCAGGGGTGGGGCTTTGGGGCTGACCATGTCTCCCACCCTTGTCTCACGCCAGGAGTTGCTGAAGGATGGGAAGAGGGAGACCACCGTGAGCCAGCTGCTCATTAACCCCACAGACCTGGACATCGGGCGTGTGTTCACCTGCCGCAGCATGAACGAGGCCATCCCGAGTGGCAAGGAGACTTCCATCGAGCTGGATGTGCACCGTGAGTGGGGCTGGGGATGGGTCGGGATGGGGTGGAGCAGTACGGGGCAGTGAGGAGGGGAGGAGAATAAAAGCAGCCCTTTGAGAAGCACAGAATGAGGCTCCTCCCCAGGCCCCAGGGCAGATGCTCACTTTCTCTTAGATTCCCTGATTCTGAACCGGGGGTGCTAAGAGCTGGAATAAGGGGCACTGGCTATGGAGTCAGGCAGTCCTGGGTCTAAACCATGTGATTTGGGGCAATGATTTAATCTCCCTGAGCCTCAGTTTCTCATTTCTGTACACTTGCAGAGAATAAAACATGAGTCTGTAATCCCTTAACCTGAAGCGAGGCTCTTCATAGTCTTTTATTAAACTTAATAGTCTTGCGTTTCACTGCAGATGAATTAACGTGTGTGACTATGGAGTGTTACTGTGCACAGCATTACCTTTCTAAAATTTGAAAAATTCCAAATTTTGAAATGCATCCTAGTCCCAAGGGTTTCAGATAAGGGACTGTGGACCTGTGCCTGCTTCTTGGGGTTTCGAGCATTAAATGAGATACAGTGCGAGATCATCTGGCATGGGGTGTGCTCACCTCCCTCTGCCCAGGGAATTGTGGGGCATGGTGGCCGGCCGTTGGGGATGCCCCTACCCCATCCCTTTTAGTGAGCCAGGCGACCCCACACTGACCCCTAGTGGCCACAGTGGCTCATTAATCCCTTGAATAATTTGTCCTTTGGTGCCATCCTTGGTGGTCACCTTAGCTGGCCCCCTAGAGGCTCCGTGTGGAAAAGGGGAGGAAGACAGCTTATTTATTGGAGCTGCAGTAAATAACACTGCAAACTCGAATTCCCAGATCCCCCCAGAGTGGTGAGGTCTGAGTATATGTACTAAGGAGGAAAGAAGAAACTCAAGGGCCAGAAACCGAGACCCTGACTCCCTGTCCCCTACTTTGCAGACCCTCCTACAGTGACCCTGTCCATTGAGCCACAGACGGTGCAGGAGGGTGAGCGTGTCGTCTTCACGTGCCAGGCCACAGCCAACCCCGAGATCCTGGGCTACAGGTGTAGGGTCGGGGGCTGGGAGCGCTCTGGGGTGTGATACTGGAGAGGCCCTTGAGGCTGGGCGGGGGTTGGGGGGCCCAGGTCACTGGATCTAGCTGGGAGGGTTCAAGCCCTGACCCCCATTCTGTGGTGCCTCCTCCCCCAGGTGGGCCAAGGGGGGGTTCTTGATTGAAGATGCCCATGAGAGTCGCTACGAGACGAATGTGGATTATTCCTTCTTCACGGAGCCTGTGTCTTGTGAGGTCCACAACAAAGTGGGGAGCACCAATGTCAGCACTCTAGTAAACGTCCACTGTGAGTAGCGGGAAGGCAGGACGGGGACCGGGCGCGGCAGCCACTAAAGGCCTGGGGTGACTCCGTGGGTGGGCAGGCAGCAGGTCGGGATGGGAGCTGAACCCCAATGGGCTTGAGACCCTCACGAGAGGCTTCTTCCTACCTCAGTTGCCCCCCGGATCGTGGTTGACCCCAAACCCACGACCACAGACATTGGCTCTGATGTGACCCTCACCTGTGTCTGGGTTGGGAATCCCCCCCTCACTCTCACCTGGACCAAAAAGGACTCAAACATGGTAAGATTCCTGCCTGCGCTGAATGCTGGCAGGAAGGGGTGCGGCCGTGGGGGTTGTAGAGGGAGGAAGTGGAGGTGGGGAGGATTCAGCATTATTTTTCAAATTGAACCTGGATTATTTCTAGGGTCTTGGGATTAGAAGGAGAAGGTGCTTGCAGTCACCCCCCGCCCTTCTCTCAGGACAGTGGGCCAGTGCAGAGGCTGAGGGGAGCAGGGAGGGGTGGGAGGTGGGAAGGGGCCCGAGGCAGAGGTCTGGTGAATGATGCTGCACAGGGAGGCGGGGAAGCTGGGAGGGTTCCCTGGATTCTATTGAGACCCACTTTAGATGGTTTGGGCCAGAAATGTGGGAAGAGGAATTTCAGAGCAAAATGTCCTACCTCATTTGGCAATAAAAATACTGGAACAGAAGAAGCTGCATCCTCTTAAAATGATTGCAGCCTACACCTGCTCTCTCTGGCCCCTGCCACGTCCCTGCCCACCGTCGCAGAGACGTGTGCTCATGTGCCAACCTGCGTAGGGTCAGGGCGTGGACCAGACGGACTCGGGAACCCATTTCCCTTCTGGGAATTCACTTGTGGCCCTTCCTGCTTTCTCTCCAATGCCTCCGATGCGGGGGCCCTCTTGGACCCAGGGGTCCAGGCCTCCTGGCTCCCCACCCGAGGCTGCTCTCTCTGCCCAGGTCCTGAGTAACAGCAACCAGCTGCTGCTGAAGTCCGTGACTCAGGCAGATGCCGGCACCTACACCTGCCGGGCCATCGTGCCTCGGATCGGAGTGGCCGAGCGGGAGGTGCCACTTTATGTGAATGGTGAGTGGCCTGAGGCGGCCGGGGCCTGGGTGGGCAGGTGCTTCGTGTCCCGACTGGCCCTGACCGTGTGTCTTCTTGCTTGCAGGGCCCCCCATTATCTCCAGCGAGGCGGTGCAGTATGCTGTTAGGGGTGACGGTGGCAAGGTGGAGTGTTTCATTGGGAGCACGCCACCTCCGGACCGCATAGTGAGTGCGGAGCCGCCTGGGGACAGCCAGCCCACCCTGTCTCTCTGCTGGGGCCCTCTGGCTTTGTCTCCCATCCCTTTTCCATCCTCTGCCTTTCTGTCTCTCTATCCCTTTACCACTCACGTCCCACCTGCAGCTTTACTTGTGTGGCACCAAGCATATGACTCAGTGTTGTCAGCCTCAGTGTCCTCATCTATAAAGCAGAGGCAATAACTCCCATTTAGGGGGTTGCTGTGAGAAGTCCCTGCAGCCACAGGTGTGAGAAGCCTAGTGGGGCAGCCACTCGATTCATCCTTAGTGCCCCTCTCTTTCCCCTGGGCTGGCGCTCTTGCTGTCTCTTACCCCACATCCTGCCCTCGCACTGCCTCCTGGTCTCTCCCCTCTCCCCATGCCTCTTCCCCTTCCTCCCATCAGTCTTCTGCCCCACTCCCCTCTTCTGTCTCCTGCCTCCCTCCCACCAGCCCCTCGCCACTCTCCTCCCTCCTTTCTCCTCTCCCCCACACCAAGAGCCATTAATTCCTTCCGTGACCATTAACCGTCAAACCCCTCATCACATTTAATGACCATTTGGCTAACTCCAGGGCTGCCCAGGGACACTTCATTACCACGGCCGCCCGGCTCTGCTCCCGGGAGGCTTTCCCTGCAGAGCTGGGAGGATTGATCCCTGGAAAGAAGCCAGTTCTCAGCTGCCCCCATCCCACCCCTCGGGCTCCACTCTGAGGGAGAGGGGACAGGCAGGCAGGACGCCCTGGCTGGACGGTCAGGGCTGGCTGGGTGTGGGGGATGCCCTTCTCTGTTCTAAGAGGCTGTGGATGGGTCTCCAGAGCCAGCCAGGCGGGTTCGTGTGGGATGGTTAAAGATAAAGCCTGAAGATTGAGTTATGCTTGGTTAGAATCACAGACTATCGGGCTGGAAGCACTGTCTAGCGCTAGCCTGGTTCTCTTCTTTTACGGATGAAGAAAATAAGGCCTAGAAAGGGACAGGGAGGCCACACAGGGACTCAGTGGGGAGAGCCAGGGTGGGAGCCCGGTGTTCCAGAACTTTTCCCACCACACCTGGGGGGTCCCAGTGTCGGTTCATTGGATCACCTGCGTCCCCATCACATGGGATCATTAGGAAAATGGAGATTCCTGGGCCTCTCCCCTGGAGATTCATATTTAGGGCATACACCCCAAGAACCTAGATTTTAAAGAATCTCCCTGAGGGCAAGGCCGATGTGTGCCATGTTTGGGAGCCACTGTCCCTCCCTGAATGGAGATTCAGTCCCGTGGGTTTGAGGCAGTGGGTGTGACTTAGGTTTGTTGCAGACTCAGTGTTAGGGGAGCTGGAGGCACACAGGGCACATGGGGTGAGGGTTCCCTGAGGGTGGATCAGATGACACTGGGCACGTGCCTCTGCCACCCGCCCCTTTCTTACCTCCCTCCGCCCTCCCCCCCCCAGGCCTGGGCATGGAAGGAGAACTTCTTGGAGGTGGGCACCCTGGAGCGCTACACAGTGGAGAGAACCAACTCGGGCAGCGGGGTGCTGTCCACGCTCACCATCAACAACGTCATGGAGGCCGACTTTCAGACCCACTACAACTGCACCGCCTGGAACAGCTTTGGGCCGGGCACTGCCATCATACAGCTAGAAGAGCGAGGTAACTGGTGATGCCCAGTGGGGGCCAGGGGAGCCTGGGAAATTCTGCCGCCCCTTCCTTCCAGGGCTGGGCTCAGAGGGGGAGAGAACTCTTGGGCCTCCCCCCGCAGAACCTGGCCTCGGTGCTGCTCAGCGGGGGAAGTTTGCTCCTTTTTGTTCACATTTACTGAGCATCTGCTACTACGTGCCAGGCTCTGCCCTGGGGGCTGCAAGAACAGCTGTGGACAGGACACAGTTCTTGCCCTCAAGAAACTTTCTGTTTAGTAGACAAACTTACAGAGAGGGGCAAATGAATTCAGCTGGAGAAAATCAAATGAACTGCAAAAGGGAATAAGGCGGTCTGTCTCCTATCTCACTGGGTAGTTGCAAGGATTAAATGGGAGACTATTTATAAAATGCCTGGCATGCAGTAGGTGCCCAGTAAGTTCTGGTTCCCTCTACCTCCTCAAGAACCTTTATTCTGATAGGACAGACACGTTCCCTCCCTTAAGGCACTTCCAGCGGGATGAAGGAGCTGTTCCCTTTGGCTCTGGGGAGCTGTCGAGTCTGATGAGGGAACGCTAGCATTTTGGTTTTTTGTTTTTTGAGAACTAGCCATTAGATGCAGGAAGTGGGGAACTCTGTGGAAAACGATGGGATTCCCTCAGTTCCGTCCTAGCCGAGGATGCCAGAGAGGGGCTGGGGGAAGAAGAGAGTAGAAAGTGGCGTGGGCTCAGCAGGGGAGGTCCCAGATGAGAAGACTTGTAAGCAGGATCTGGATTCAACTGGGACTGCCAGGAAGAGAGAGAAGGCTGGAGGAGGATTCCTGAATCCCTGCTCAGCTCTGGAAAGCAGAGGGAACCCAGGAAGACTGGGTGGGTGGGTGCAGATGGGATGGTCTCAGTGGTGTGGGTGGGAAGGTGGCAAAAGAGGTGGGAACACGAATGGCAGATTGGAGTTTGGGGACAAGAGCCCAGCCCTGGAAGGAGGGACCAAGCTTCACAAGCAGCTGAGCTCACCAAGAGGGATAGACAGACCCAAGGCCATGGTCAAGCTAATACCCCAGCTGCAGGGACGAGACTGGACCACGCCCTCAACTCCGACCAAGTGAAAGCACAGATCTAAATCCAACCTCAGTCCAGACCTTTCTCTCAAATCCCCTTGACTTAAACCCAGCACGGTCCCCAGGCTCAGTTGGAACCGAACCCTGCACACCACCCAGGGTTGCCACCGGAGCTGTGGCCCAGCCTTCCGCCAGCACTGGGCACAGCTCCCGGTGTGGCTCCATCCTCACCCTGCTCCTTCCCTTTCCCCATCGGAAGAGGTGTTACCCGTGGGCGTCATCGCCGGGGCCACCATCGGCGCAGGCATCCTGCTCATCTTCTTCTTCATCGCCTTGGTATTCTTCCTCTACCGGCGCCGCAAAGGCAGTGAGTACCGGCCCTGCGAGGCCCACAGCCCTCCCCTGGCCCTCCTGGGGCACGCGGCAGGCAGTGCCTGCGATGGGTGGTGGGGTTGGCAGTGGGGCTCCCAGCCCAGGGGGGCCGGAAACAGCCACTGTGGAGGCCAGAAGAAAGCATCCGGTCTAGGCTACCTCCCCCTGTCCCAGGTCGCAAGGATGTGACCTTGAGGAAGCTGGACATCAAAGTGGAGACGGTGAACCGAGAACCGCTCACGATGCATTCTGACCGGGAGGACGATGCTGCCAGTGTGTCCACCGCGACCCGGGTCATGAAGGCCATCTACTCGGTGAGGGTCCTGCCCCTCCCTGGCTACTGCCCCTTCACACTCCAGGACTCCCAGCTCCCTGATAACCACTGTCATTCTCTCTTCCCTTGATGGGTCGGCCTATGCTGGTCCTGCTGCACACATACACACACACACACACACACACACACACCCAGGCTAATTTCCCTCCAGCAAAAGATAAGCAGGGTGGGGATGGGGGATTCTCCATTGGCATCCTTTGCCCCATCTTTCCCCACAGAGTGTGAGAGACAGAAGTGCTTAGGAGTTTTCTGGTCCAGCTACCTCACTGCTAGGATAAAGAAATAGTCGCAGACAGGGGCAGCAACATGCCCAAGGCCACATGACATGTTAGCAACACAACTAAAGTTTGAACCAGGAGTCTGGCCTCCCCCCCACCGAATCCCGGAGCCTCTGCTGGGAGAGGACACAGAACTCGGGTCTGCCCTGGATCCCAGACCCCTCCGGTGGGCAGGCGGCCTCTGGGTGTGGGTGGCGGGATGAGCAGGGCGGGTCTCCTGACGCCGCCCACTCCTGCTGTCTGCAGTCCTTTAAGGATGATGTGGATCTGAAGCAGGACCTGCGCTGCGACACCATCGACACCCGGGAGGAGTATGAGATGAAGGTGGGACCGGGAAGGGGCCTGAGGGCTGGCTGGGCCGGGGGCTGGGGGCCTGCAGGGTGGAGGTGAGGACAGGCGTGGGGGGGTGGCCAGCAGGAGGGTGAAGGAGCAGAGAGAACGGAGTGGTACCAGACGGAAGCGCGGGGAGAGCCAGAGGAGGAGGCCCGGAAGGCCGTGGTGAGACTTGGTCCCTGCCCAAGAGGGATAATGCCGCCTCCCTCCTCTTCTCTCGTTGCCCCCAGGACCCCACCAACGGCTACTACAACGTGCGTGCCCACGAAGACCGCCCGTCCTCCAGGGCGGTGCTCTATGCTGACTACCGCGCCCCTGGCCCTGCCCGCTTCGACGGCCGCCCCTCATCCCGTCTCTCCCACTCCAGCGGCTACGCCCAGCTCAACACCTACAGCCGGGCCCCTGCCTCCGACTACGGCCCGGAGCCTGCGCCCCCTGGCCCTGCTGCCCCAGCTGGCACTGACACCACCAGCCAGCTGTCCTACGAGAACTATGAGAAGTTCAACTCCCATCCCTTCCCCGGGGCAGCTGGGTACCCCACCTACCGACTGGGCTACCCCCAGGCCCCGCCCTCCGGCCTGGAGCGGACCCCATATGAGGCGTACGACCCCATCGGCAAGTACGCCACGGCCACTCGATTCTCCTACACCTCCCAGCACTCGGACTACGGGCAGCGATTCCAGCAGCGCATGCAGACTCACGTGTAGGGCCAGAGCCTGGCTGGGGCGTCTCTGCGGGGCAGAGGAGAAGGCTTTCACAGCTGTTCCCTGATATTCAGGGGCATTGCTCGTTGCTCCCTTCTCGGACCAGCCTTCCTCCTCCGCCGTGGCAGGTGGGGAGCAGGTCTCCCAGAAACACCCCGTCCCGAGGATGGTGCTCTGTGCATGCCCCAGCCTCCCGGGCCTGCCCTTCCCTCTTCTTCGGGAGGGTGTGTCTCTTCCGACCTGCGCTCCTGCCTGACCCCAGCTAGGGGACAGGGATGTGAAGGTTGGGGAGAGCAGAGGGGGCACTTTTTAGCATTCCCTTTCTATCCCACCCTCTGGTCTCCCGCAAGTGGGAACGGGGGTATATGGGTGTGGGCAGGCTTTGGCCTAGGGGACATGGAGTATGGGAGTGGGTGGCTCTGGCACAGGCAGGTGGAAAACGGCACAGCCCGGCCAGTCCCTGTGTTGTGTGCATTCATGCGCTGGGTGCATCTCTCCCTCCTTAGGGGACTGCAGAAGGGACCTTGGATTTGTTTTAGCTCTTGTCTACAGAACAGCCCTGGCACCGAGTTCAAATCCAGCCCTCATTCAGCCGGGATCAAAATGCCAGTCACTCTGGCTGCCCACTGTGGACACTCGTCTGTCAGCGTGCAGGGGAGCCAGGCGTCCCCAGCAGCACTGCCCGATTTCCTTCTCTGTGCGGGGCCAGCCAGATAAGTCCGGGTCCAGGTGGAGAAGGACCGTGTCCTAATTGACCAAGAGACCGCTATTGCATAGCAGTTTCCAGAACCGACACTAGAGGGAGCCACCTGTCTCTCCCCGTCTGCCCCACTTCCTCGCTTTGACTCTGAGCCTGTTTGGGGAGGAGTGAGGTAGGGTGGGGTGCTTTGGGCTATATTTCAAAGACAACAAAAACAATGAAAACCTCATTTGGGGGGGAAAAAGCTGTAAGGATTCCCCCACCCAAATACAAGTCCCAGTGGAAGGGAAAGGGGCACCTGTTCTTCTCCACCAGGTTCCTAGCACCCTCCATTACTCTTTCAGTCTCCAAGCACTTTGAATACATTTTACACATTCAGGTGGTGAGACCTGTCACACAGGTGGGCGCTCTGATAGGGTTAGGGAGAGGGCCTGGCTCTCAGGCTCTACTGTCCTACCTGGGGGCCCACCAGCTGGTTAGAGGCCACCTTCCAAGGGGGCATGGGAGATGTTCTCTTTAGACAGGTTTTTGTTAAGTGTCTTTTTTTTTTCTTTCTTGGACCAATCAGATTCCTTCTTCCACTTTCAGTGCCTTGAGCGTCAAGCTTTGGATGACCCACCCTGTGTGGGCCGGTTTTGTGCAGGGAGCGGGTACTGCGAGCCCCAGACACACTGTCAGATGTTGCAGTGTTGGGGAGAGGTGGAGAGGGAATCTGGAGAGGTAGGGGGGCCGGGAAACGGCCCCGACAGAGAACTTGTGCAGACCGGGAGAAGGTGGCACGGAAGGGCGCTGCAGGCACGCCACGGCCCATTTCTCCTCCTCCATGCGCACGCGCGCGCACATCCACGCATTCCACACGACCGCTTCGCCGCCGCCACCTTCCGACCAAAGAGAACCTCTGCCCCTGCCCCGGCCTCGCCTTCCCAGGGAGCGGTGCCTGGAGTTGGCTCTTCTCTGCCTTCCCCGCTGCTGCTTGTCTGGTGGGAGGCGGGGCCTCGGGTGCAATTCCCAGAATGTTCCTTGCCCTTTCTCGGTGGTCACCATTCATTACTCATGTTCACTTTAATGAGTTACATGCTCATCAGCCACGGGCCATCACCACCCTTACTGATGGGCCTGAGGGGTGACATTCCCAGGCATCCCTTTGCTGGTAACCAGATAATACCCAGGAAGCAAGTAGCTCCAGTTCCGACCTCCCAGGCAGCCTCTGTGTCCTCTATTTCAGCAGAGAGGGTCCTGCGGACTGGGCCTGGCTGGCACTTGTGGGCTCCCAGCTGTGTCCCACCCCTGGAAGCTGACCCCTTTCTGCAAGAGTCTTTTTGTGAGGACTCAGTGGGAAGGTCTGTCAAGAATGCAGGTTCCTGTGCAGAAAACGGATACAAAGTTTTACTGTTTTCATAGACACCAGAGCCATGGGTAATCCGAACACTTAAAACCTATGATTGATGGCTTTTTAAACATGAATATTCAAGAAAAAATTTTTTTCTTGTTTTGGGTTTGGCCAGACTCTATTTCCTTCTTTTTGTTTTAAGTATTAGGCCCATTCTGTTGAAATGATGGCAAGGAAGGGCCCAAGGTGACTAGGTAATTCAGCTGAAGGTGCAGAAAAAGGAAACCCAGTTTTCAGACGCCTGGTACAGGGCTACTTCGCTGTACTCTGCTGTTTAACACATGGACTGGGTCCTGGGTGTCGAGCAAGCACCATGTAAGGCAAAGGAAACATCAGCAACCAAGGCAGCCTCTGCCTGCCCTCTGCAACTCACACGCTGGTGCCATCAGAATCTGAATTGGAACTGCCTGGTAGGCCCCATGGAACTACTGTTTTGAGGAGTGGGCTTGATCACAGAGCTTTGCTGTCTAATGCTTGAGTCTTCTAGCCTGGTGGTGCTCTGTACTTGGTGATCCTGATCACCTTCGACATTCTTGCTTCAGTGGAAAGAGCAAGGGACTAGGGTCAGGAGACCTGAGAGCCAGTCCTGAAACTGCTGTTAACTGAGTGACCTTGGCCTAACCTCTTTACATTCCTCGCCCCCAATTTTCTGGCCTGTAAAGTGAGGGGTAAGGGTTGCACCAACCAAGTCTGCTCTTCACTTGCTGTTTCTGCTTGGTGGGGCCTGTGGGGCGGGGAGGGATAGCTTATCCCTAGCAAGGAGTTGGGAACAGTGGCTAGCACGTTGGTGGATAGAAGGTTCTCCTATTCAAAGAAATTTTCACCATGGGCTTCATTATCTTATTCGAAGTGTGAATTGATTCCCAACAGGGACCCCTGCATCCTAAACAGCAACAAAAAGCACACCCTAAACTTCCGAGCAAAATCAATATGGTGGGTTATCCTTTAGCCCTTGGGTCATGCATGGTGTTCCCCATATAATCCCAATAGGTTTGCAAAAGTGTCTCTTGCCAGGGCAGGACAGGGTGTGTTTCCTTTACTGTGTACCCAGGTTTCAGGCAACTACTGTCTGGGAAAATGGGAGCAGCCACCCTCCACCCCAGTCCTCAGGAACATCCCTCTGGCCCAGGGTCGGCCCGTTCCCCTTACCAAGCAGTGAAACCTGTAGTCCAAGGTGTCTAGAGCCAGGGCACAATGAGTGGGCACAGCGGACCCTGTTGGGAAGCAGCCTTCTGCAAGGGGAACTGGTGGAGGGAAGAGGAGTAAAGCAGTTTTGACAGAAATTCTGGTCTTGAAGAGGTTCTCGTGATTCTGGGTGAGTCGTGGTCTCTTTCTTTATGGAGGGCCCAGCCTGCATCCAAAATCCTGGATCCCTCAAAGTCCAGCCATGGGGTTTGCATGAAGCAAAAACCATAAGTTAGAAAGGAGAAAGGCCAGGGATGGGAGCAGGGCTATGTGCTCACAAACGTCTTGCTGGGAGTGAAGGGGCTAGTTTGACTGCCCTGTCTCTGGGCAGTATGTTCTCTCCTTATGCCAGCAGTCGCCTCTCCCCTCGTGGTGTTGAGGGGAGCCTTTTCTGCTTTACAGCAAGGAGCACATTGCACCAGGCCCTCTTATTAACCTGTGGACGCTCTGTCAGGAGCCACGAGTCCCGGGCTCCTTCAGATGGCATTGGAGGGCCTGTCAGTGTATTTGACCCAGGTGCATAGCAATGTTGGGCCATTTGGGTTTGAAGAAAACCACGTTAAAGCCAAGACCCCCTTTGGAGCGAACTGGCTCAGCTGCTGCCTTGCTGTTTTCTGTGTGGACAGTCCTGTCCCCACTGCTGAACTCCAGGCCCTCCCAAGGCTTCTCTGTGCATCAGTGCTGTCTGACCTGAGCCTGGTCATCACCCTGTCTCTGGGCCGTTGTGCGTGTTGAGAATTACCCGGTGGGATTAGCCAAGCTGCTGACCCTGGTGCGGCCTGTGAGGAGGCTGTGATGAAGCCGGAGTGCCCAGACCAGGAGATGTGATTGGAAGGGCATTTATTTTTGTGAAGAGGATATCAAATTAGCATTTAAATATCCCATTCCTCTCTCCTGGCCTGCCCCACCCCGCAGGGTTTCTCTGTCCCCAAGTTCAGACTTTGAGAATGGCACCGGCTCACCTTTGTCTGCTGGGTCCTGACACTCCAGACCTCTGGGCTGGTGGAGGGGCCTCAGAAATGGATGGTGGGGGCGGGATCCCATTTTCTTGCATCACTGTGAGGGAGCTCCAGGCCCTGTCCCTGGAGAAATAATTGCTGCGCAGAAGTCACAGGCCATGCTGGGCAGTTCTGGTACAAGCCTGCCCTTAAAAAAAATAATAATAATAACTCCATTTGCATAGAACTATCACTCATTCCTACCAGCCCACTGCCTCTGTCCTTGGCTTTTTTGCTGGCCCAAATCACGGGCCTCTGAGTGTTGGTGGTCCCTGGGCTCTTCAGATGCTGCCGCTTGGGAATACTAACTCTGGGGAGACAGCAGCCAAATTGCCAATACAATCAAACTCTTGACACAATCCTGTTAGCAGTAGTGACCCAGAAGATTCTGCTGCCTACAATTTCACCAGAAAGAGGTCCAGAGCTCCCTGTGGTCACATTTTCTACCCCCAGCTATTCCTGGGATTGCAACTGCCATGTCTGGCTCCAGTTGAATTTTCTCCACCCAACCCCCCAGTAATAAATGGATCCATGATGATAACTAAGAGAAGAGAAAAAAAATATATTATTTTTGTTAGGACAAACCATCGTAGATTTTTAGCAATGTGTATCTGTGTGTCCCTCACACCTTTTTCCTATTCTGCCTTTTTTTTTCCTTTTTTTAAAATATTATGTACTATATTTTTAGTCTCAAACACACTATATATTATATATATTTAATTTTTTTATATATATAAATATAAATGTTTTAAAAAGTTCCATGTTTTGTGTTATTTAATACGTTAGCAGCTAGTTACTGAAAAGCCTGCCTGGTTTTGGATGGGATGGCCCTGGTTTGGGGAAAAGAGATAGACTTGGATTGAGATTGCAGAAACTACATATTTGTGTCACCTCTAGGCCATGGGGCAAACACCGTTTGTTCACCAGTCTGTGACTGTCGCAGAACCCTGAGGCCAATTATAGCAGTGCTTTTGGAACACAGCATCAAAATGTTCTGTGCCAAATCTGATTATGGGGATAGGGAAAGGGGAGACTTTGAATCTGGGATCCACATCCCAAAGGAATTGGGAGTGGGTGTGTGAGCAGGGGTGGTTTCATTTACTAAAAGCAGAGTTACCGGGTATCTAACCTTTTGAACTTGTAGTGAAGCAGAATGAAAGAACAGCTGGTGCAGCAGTGCACACACAGGCCATCTTGCCAAGAAATCCTAAATTCCCTGAGTTGAGTAGAGATTTCACTTCACTCATTTCACAGAAGTGTTTGAGGATACCTGAAATTATTTTTGAATAATTAAAAAAATTTTTTTTTTGCTTAGAGCCACAGGGTCTTGCTGTGTTGCCCAGGCTGATCTCAAACTGTTGGCCTCAAACAGTCCTCCTACCTTGGCCTCGCAATGTGCTGGGATTACAGGTGTGAGCCACGGCATCCAGCCCTGATGATGTTTTTGGAAGCTGTAAATCATTAGAGCAATACAAGGGCTTCTTGCTTTCCTCATCCAGTTAGTGACCAAGCAAACTCAAGACAGTCCACAGTAGCTTTTTTGTACACACAACACAGAACACAAGAGACAGAGAGAGGATGTAAGAGCTGAAAAAATAGTTCAGAGATAAAGCAACCCATTTCCAAGAGAGTTGGAGGTCACACAGCCCAGGAGCTGCAGCCAAGGGAGGGAGGGGGTGGTGGGCAGTGAGGGCTGGAGTCTAAAGACATGTGGCCGGGACCAAGAGACTACCGGTAGCACAAGGTGAGTCCAACCTAGGTGAGAATGAGAGACCAGGGTGCAAGGTGAATCTATAGGTTACAGCTGGTAAGTTGCACTGGCACAAGTCAAGTCACACTGATAGACAGGATCTGGGAGCAAATAGAAGAGAGTGAAACAAACAAGCGGAAGAGAAGAAACAAGATTGTATAAACAGAGGGTCCCAGATGAACTCGACATGGTGTTGGGAGAGGTGCTTCCTGCGCCGTATGTCCACTTGGGATACATTCATTGTATTCTCTGCATCCCCAGAGCCCAGCAACATGCTAGCAGCTACTTTGGGACAAATTGTATAGGGCAGGACATAAGGCTCCAAACGCCTAAAGCTACTCTCTTCTTAGCCACAAGAAACACCACAGGCCTCTTCCTATGACAGGGGGCCTAGCTTTTCCTCCAAGTCACCTCCAGTCTTAGGACAAGTAATAGTGACACAATCCCTTTGTCATCTGGATTTACAAAGTTGTAAAAGGCGCTCCTCCTTGTGAGGTCTTCTGCTTCACAACAGGAGCTGCTGGTTTAGGCATAAAAATGCTCCTGTTCGTGCTTCCACACCAAAATGTGAAGTTCAAATTTCTCCATGAGATGACCCCAAGTCATTCAATCCTTTCTTTGGCTTACCCTGCATTTCAATACAGTCCAGTGGAGTCAGGCCTTGTTCGTGTTATGCCCCTGCACCTTCCTGCCTCTGTGCTTTTGTCCAAGCCCTTTTCTCTGCCTGGAGAGTCCATGTCCCTTTACTTTCTCTCATTTCCAAATTCTACTTATCTTTAGGGGGCCCAGCTCAAAGGCCATCTCCTCCAGGAAGCCTTGCCTGACTCATTGCTCACTTTCTCTCCCTTTTGAGTGGTCCCATGGGTTAGCTATGTCTTGCTGATCTCATTTATAACCTGCTTTGATCACTGGAGTTTTGTGTATGACACATTAGCACTTTCCTCTTAAAATAAGGGCACTTGAAGACAGAGAGCATGTATCATTTATTTTAGTATCCCCATCACCCAACAGAGTGCTCAGTATGTATTTGCTCAGTACGTGTTGAAGGAATGCAGGAATAGAGGGAAGGAAAGAGGGAGGGAAGCAAAGCCATGAACACAATGCATAAAGGGAATGTAACCTAGAGGAAGGAGTTCATGCTTGATGAAGTAGCATAGCATGGACTCGAGAGTCCGTCTGCCAACCCGATAGACATGACCAGTACTTACTGATACTGGGTTCTCTCTTTCCGAGTTCCCTGGCTGTTGGACAAGGCCAATCTGACTAGTTTGGCCTGTGTGCTATAAACAGCAGTGGCATGTCACTTCCAGACCAAAGCATTTAATTGCTAGTGTGAGATCCTCCAGCGTTTTCTTCCCGTGCCCTAGTGACAGGAGCCCATTTATTCCAGATGGTGCAGCTTCGCAATAGTGGAGTCCCTCTGCCTTGATCCCTGAGTGACTCTGTGAAGCAGAGCCCTTTGGTCAACCTGTGATGAACATGTAGTTTGAGGGACAAGTAAAGCTTTGTTTTGTTAAGAGACTGAAATTTCACGGTGGTTTGTTACTGCAACACGGTGTGCCCCATCCTGATTAATACAGACAGTGTTCAAATCCTCCTTCACTATTTGCTCCTTGGGTGAGTTACTTTGCCTCTCTACATCTTTCTTCTTTTCTGTGAAATGGACCAGCAATAGTTCCTGTCTCATAGAAGGTGCTTAGCAGAGTTCCCAGCATGTGAGTAGTCAGTAAATGTTAGCTTTTGTTATTCTAGAGAAAGGGAAGCAGTGGGTTTCAGTCCCTTTCACTCCTTTCCTTAGGGACATCTGGAAAGATGTGACCAATTGCCCAGGGTTATGAAAAGAGCAAGGACTCTGGAATGAGAAGATTTAGGTTAAAATCTCAGCAAAGCCTCTTGTAACTGATGCTTGGCAGGTCAGCACAGCTTTCAGAGCTACCGTGTCTTTATCTCTAAAATGTTGTGAGCATTCAAAGACAGGAGATAATAGAAAAGCCTTTTTGTAAATTGCGAAATGCTATTCAAATGTAAGTTGGTGACTTTGATCTCTTAACACCCAGAAGCCTCCCGCCCCCACCTTGTCCCCGCTGCCTACAACATCCCACACCCCCCTTCTGCCACAAACATAACACAAACACTGCTCTGCAGAGACCTGACAGACATTAGGAGAATGTGCCCATCCAGCTGGGCCTGATAGAGCCCATCGTGCCAGCCCCCAAGGGTTCTGAAACCAAAAGACCAGCTCTTTGCAAAGCGGGAACCTGGGGGAGGAGAAAGATCACTTCATCCGCACTCACTTTCCCATTTCCTTTACTCGTTGTAATTAGCTACACAGAGGCAACCTCCCGGGGAGAGCAGAGCCATCAGCTCCCAGAATTGAACGGAGGAGCTTTGTCTTTTTGTTCCTCTCCACATAATACTGCTCTCTTGGTGGTCGCTATGCAAACACATCCTGCATTCATTTGCAAACTGGGGAATATCTCATATTTTGAGGCTCAGATTAATGTTCCAGCTCCCCAAAAGAGACACTGGTTGGGACTTCTTTTCAAACAGTAACCTGTCAAGTCCTAGCATAGGGGCTGATTCCCAGAGCCATGCGATAGCCTGAGGGGGGACCAAAACCTTGCTCCCATAGAGGCCCTGTGATCCCCTCACTAAAATGGATGCTTAACTGTGGATAATAGAATCTCAAAAATTGAAAGCCCCTCTGAGGCCATCTGGTCCGACTGTGGACCCAGAGCAGAAGCTGCAGTTCAGCTCTAGAGACAAACGGGCTCTGCATTGAGACCATCAGGGGCCTGGAATGCAGGGTGGCTCTTTATGCCATCTGGATCTTGGGATCTGCATGTTCAGGTGTGCCCCCAGCTTCCCCAGGCACCAGCTCCGTGTCTTTGGGAAAATCGCTTGTCCTCTCTGGGCCTTAGTTTCCTTATCAGAAATCATTCTTTCATTCATGCAAAAAAATATGTATTGAACATTTACCATGTGTCTGATACTATATCAAAACCTAGGGACACAGCAGGGAACAAAAGACTCTGCTCTCATGGAACTTACAATGTAATAACAGGAAAAAGACAATGAACCAACAAATGATGTCAGGTAGGAGCAAGGAGAGACCCAGAGCAGGGTAAGGGGCACAGAGAAGGACCAAGGGAGCACAGATGTGCTATTTTGTGTTGGGTGGTTAGAGAAAGTGTGGATGGAGAAAACAAATTCTGTGAAAATATTTAAAGAGGTTTATTCTGAGCTGAATATGAGTGACCAAGGCCCAGGGAGCACAGTCTCAAGAGCTCCTGAGAAAATGTCCCTGAGGTGGCCAGGTTACGGTTTGCTCTTATACATTCACGGAGACAGACAGGAATTACAGGCAAAGTCACAAATCAGTACATGGAAGGTCTACGTTGGTTCAGCCCAGAAAGGCAGGACATCTCAAAGGTGAGGCTTACAAGGCATGGGTAGATCTTAGGGATTCTCTAGTCAGCAATTGGTTGAAAGAGTTAAGCTTTGTCTAAAGACTTGGAGTCAGTAGAAAGAAATGCTTGGGTTAAGATAAGTGGGTCTTCTATGTGTCATGTGATGCTGTACTCCGCTGCCCACCCCGCTACCATCCCCGCATCCGTGGAAAAATTGTCTTCCATGAAACCAGTCCCTGGTGCCGAAAAGTTTGGGGACTGTTGCTGTACAGGAATCAGGTTGGAAAGTAAGCCACATTATACTGGGTCAAAAAAAAAACAAACCCAAAAAAATCCATTTAATAATGAGATCTTATCATTTGTAAAGTGTGACTCTCCAGGCCCCTTAGAAAGGAATTTGGGGATTTCAAGGGAAAAAACATCCAGGAGAAGAGGACAAGTAGGCTGGACTTACATCTGGGGAAAGAACGTTTTTAGGCTGAGGGAACAGCAACTGCAAAGGCCCTGAGGCAGAAATGAGTTTAGAGGGTCGCAGGACCAGCAAGGAGTGTGGCTGGGGGAGCAGTAAGAGCAGAGGAGAGTGGTAAGGAATGGAGT